GTCACTCTAGAGGATCCCCGAACCGGTACTGGCATCGGCACCGTTAACAACCGTATTAAACCGGTTTGCTGACTTTGGACTTTACGACCCATGGGCCATGTCCCTTTAAAACAGTGAAAATCACAAAATCGACATGTCCTAGTCATTAACCGTTAGCGCTAACGGTCGGTCGGTCATTGAAGTGCTGCTTGTTTATTTCCTAGGGTTGTCAGGACGCGTCTTGCGTCTTGGCATCTTTCAAAGGTTGATCCGTCGTCGCAAGAGTCTCCTAATCGGAAAAGAGAGAGGGGAAGACAGAGGGATAAGCGTATGCGAAAGGAGATGCGCGCGGCGTCTGGCGCGCGTGCGCGAGCGAGAGGGTGTGAGTCGTAGCAAGGGCGAGGGGGATGGAGGAAGCGAGAGCGTGAGAGGAGTGTTGGTGGAACATCAGGTCCCATTTTGATGTGGGAAGCAGGTGGTGCTGGTGGTGTCATAGATGTCGTTAATTGTCGGCGCATTGCCGAGCGCTTTGGTGGTGTCAGTGATCTGTTGCGGAGGATGAGAGGGAAGGGAACGGAGGGACACAGGAGTCAAAGAGCCAGATGTGTGTGTGTGCGTGTGCCTGTGTGTGTGTGTGCGTGTGTGTTGATTAACCGCGACACGGGAGCGGGCCAACATGTGTGCACGAATGCGAGCTCCGTAGTCGAGCGACGTATACTAGTGCCTTTTCCAGTAAATAAACCGTGGAGGATTCTCCAACAAGATGCGTAGATGGTATCCAGAGCCCATAGAAGTGCGCGGCGCTGTGGGCAACTGCGTGTGTGTGTGTGTGCGTGTGCGTGTGTGTTTTTGACATCTGAGCCGCGATATGAGAACCTGATGCCCGAGTTGTATCGATGTGAGCTCCGTGAAAAGCTTTTCCATGCATTACTGTAGACATAGCTGCTTGAACATTCCTCTTCACAAAATCCCTCAGGATGCTTCCCTGGGGCAGGTTGAGGGCAGGATCAGCCGGGGGGCTTACAACCAAGCTGGTAAGAAAGGTTGTGACCTTGCTGGCCCAACATTCTGTGTTGCGGCCAAGTGCAGGTCAGCGACAAAAGCTCTGTAACATTGGGTGCCCGACTTTCCAAAACATAATCGTAGTGGCCTCTGTGACAGCTCACAGTACAGCAGAAGCTTAGTTAGGCTCCTGGCCCCTACCACCGTCCACATCGACGCGCGCTGCTCCAGGACCATATGGATTTGTCACTCGGCATTCTCGAAGTTCACATTAAAAAACCCGGATCCCCACACTTGCACTTCGTGGGAAAGGACAGGCAAGGCCAGCGCATTATAAAATGACAAGTTGAGCTTGGGTACGGTACGTTTCTTTTCACGACAGAGAGAAGTGAGGCAAACCGTTGGCCTGTCCCGTAGTGCATCCCGAGGTACTGTGCCGCTTCATTATGGGGCAATACACGCAACATCTCCCCGCCCAGCCGGTACACGTAGCCCACGAGCGACCCCCACTCAGTAGGTGTGCCCCTGAAGACAAGCACCTCACACTTGGCTCCGTTAGCAGCCATCCCAGTCGCCTTGCAAAACATCTCGAGTAACCAAGAAGGCATTGTGCCCGCTCGCAGCCAGTGGCTAAGAGTGATGCATCATCAACAAACAGCAAGTTAGTGAGCTCACTGCCCCCCGAGTGCAGTGCCACGCTTTGGTCCTGCAGTACGGACCACCTGGGGGGGCGGTGCAGCCAGCAATCCTAATGTATGACCGTTAGGGTGGGATGTACAACCAACGGTCCGACGGTTGAATCGCCAAACCCATGTGACGAGCAAAACTGCACTTAAGAGGGCTGAAGTCATGTTCCCAGTGTCGATAAGAATGGAGGCATCGGACTGGCACTCTTTACCTCGAAACCTCATAGATAAACCTTTAGAAACGGAGAAAGGCGAAGGAGGGAGCGACGTCAGCATCAGGAGCAGATACCGGAGGGTCGTACCAGAACTCGACAGGACCAGTTAACCCAGCAGAGCGTCGCTTCCCTATCACGGCAGCAACATCGAACAGCGTGGTACGTACGAAAACCACCTGATGTTGAATGCGGTGCGATGCTCTTGCAATTCAAGTAGTGCAACAGATACTCTCGAGCACGTGCAGGAGGCGGATGAACGACAACATAATGTCCGGCACAGCGAACTAAATTTGGGGCACATAGCTGATCAGAGTGAGGGGACAAACGGATCCCAAGTGAAGCGCGGACTAGTCAAACACTGAAGCTCGAATTCGGAAGTGCAAAGTATGCGAGTCGAAGGGATGAGTGCAGAAGTTCGTCTTTGCGTTACAAGATTGACGAGGCTCGGCAATTAGAGCAGCAAAAACAGCAGCATCCTGATGCATGAGTTGCACTAATGACAAAGTCTGCAAGTCTGCTCACACACACAAACGAAACCCCCCGAACCGCATCATGCCAGGCTATGCCCCCCGAACCGCATCATGCCAGGCTATGCCCCCCAAATCGCATTGTGCCAGGCCATGCCCCCCAAACCGCATCATGCCTGGCCATGTCCCCCAAACCCGCATCATGCCAGGCCATGCCCCCCGAACCGCATCATGCCAGGCCATGCCCCCCAAACCGCATCATGCCAGGCCCTGCCCCCCAATCGCATCATGCCAGGCCATGCCCCCCAATCACATCATGCCAGGCCATGCCCCCCAAACCGCATTATGCCAGGCCATGCCCCCCAATCACATCATGCCAGGCCATGCCCCCCAAACCGCATTATGCCAGGCCATGTCCCCCGAACCGCATCATGCCAGGCCATGCCCCCCAAT